AGGATTAAAGGGTTCCGGAGGGGGGGACGGGGTTCAGGTGGCAGAGGGACAGGGGATTGAGAGGTGGGGCATGGTGAGGTAAGAGGCGACGAAGGAAACCGGTCTCTTGAAACGAGCGACGAAGGTGGAGTATCTGTAGTGGCTGGAGGCAAGGTGGTGGGAGGAGATACTGGAGCTTCGTGAAATGGAGGTAGAGAGGGGAGAGGGGATTGGAGAAGAGAGAAGAGAGATGAAGAAGGGTTAGGGGAGAGAAGAGAAGGGGAGGTTCTCGGACGAGAGAGCGAAGAGGGAGAAAGTCATAGGAAAGGTGGCAGTCTTGGTGGGCATCTGAAGGACGGAAGGCTGATGTGGAGGCCGGGTGTCCCCTAAGGGATTGGGCGGCGAGGTGTACACTTGTGCTTCATCCCGAGGGGCAAGAGAGGGGGTGGCTATATCTGTAAGGATGAGAAAAGGAGAAGAGGGTGGCAAGGGGCAGGTAACAAGGGATGGGTTTGCTGCTCGGTCGATGTAAGATGATGGTGGGGATGAGCCGCAACTCGAGGATGAGTTGATGACAACATGAGGGGGCGACACGTGGCCCGAGGAGCCAGCAGGAGAAATAAATGAGGGCAGCTGGACATCACGGGTGGGGGACACATTGAGTAGGACCTCCTTACCTTGCCTTGAGTGAGGGTCATCAAAGGTCTGATCGTGAGGGATAGAGGGCTGCGACACCTGTCCGGGGGCCTGAGAGGACGTACGACATGGGGAAGACGACTGTAGTGAAAAATGTACGTGAGATGTATAGGGGCCGGGTGGCATGTTCACAACAGAGGTGGAACACCCTAAGGTAGGTGGTGAGCATGTAGGAGTTGAGGTGGGCAAGGGAACAAAGGAAGCAAGCCCCCCTATTGTGATGTGGCAGTGGGGGATATGGTTGAATCTGTTCGAGGTCTTCAAGACTGGCAACCATGCAGCCTCGTACAACGGCCGGCAATCAGCCCTTTCCACCTACAATATCTCGTGGCGGGAAATCGGCGCTGGCTAGGAAGTTGGTGGCGCCGCCCATTCTGATGGCCCTTCCTCTAGCAAGGTTTCCAGTCTGATGGGTGAGGATCAAGGGTCAGGGTGAATCCTGAAAGAGGATGGAAACTTGGGGAAGAGGGAGAGGGCAAAGACCACGCGATGGAAAAGTTGAAGAATGACCCTCCAATTCTAGCCATAGCGAAGGGGGAATGAGACTGGGGTCGAGGAACTCTAGGAGCAGCCAGATGGATCATAGAGGGAGAAATTCTAAGGATTTCGAATGAATCTGGACTAGGGAGCCGAATGCCTCGGCTACCCTACTGAAGATGAGGGGGGACCAAGCATGGAGAGGGAGATGAGACACCGTGAGCTAGAGGCATTATTTTATGAAGGAACCAACTTCCTTAGACCCTTTGCAGAGTGAGGGAGAAGCCCCCTAGAAGACCAGGGAAGGGGCAGACTGGAGGGCCCGCAAGGCACTCTCCTCTGATGGAAAACTAAACAGTATAAAGCCATTGGATAAGGGCCGGCAGCCAAGCTGCCCCTCCATCCAGACTTGCTGTCCCCATTTCTCAATGGACCGAAAGTTGTTCCTCCTTGGAAGAAAGGTGCTCACCAAAGAAGAACGGAGCTGAGCACAATTGTTGGAAGAGATCTCTGAGGGGGTAGAAATAATGAGGGGGAGGTGAGGGGAGCGAGGTCAAGGTGGAGGTGGGTTGCTCCAAGGGAGTAGTAGGAGCTGAGTTGGGTTGGAAGGGGGGGGGCGCGGAGGTGACCTGAGCGAAGGAAGTGGGGGGTGGAGGCCTCAGGGGGAAGTAGGGTTCCTCGAAGGGAGCAAGAGGAACCGAGAGAGGTGGTGGGGCTGGCGCACCTGAGCGGAGGAAGCATGGAGAGAAGCAGAAGGAAGGGTTGGCTTGCTATACTGGATGTAGATGGAGCTCCAGTAGGAATGGGAAAATCACTGCTTTTGTTTATTTATTATTAGGGTCAATATGTTAGGAATCTTAATGTGCAGTTAATCTTCAACACTTGGTTTATTTTTTATTTAATTTCTTTTTTTACTATCCGTAGGTTACTATTCATGGGTACTGTTCATGGATATAATTCACGGGTTTTGTTTACATAGGTATTTCTGAAATTTTTAGTATTGTTTTGGGTGTTTAGATTATTAAATCATTCACTTGGTTCTCAAGTTAATTTCCTTTATCTTATAAATGGTGGTACATCACATTATGGGATCTTTATATTATTGAAATAAATTTTATTGTATGAAAGAAGGAAATTCGTCTACTCTTGACTTGATGTGCAGCCATGCTTGTTCTTTATTATCAGTGATTGTTACTTGGTTGATGTTCGAGAAAAAGGTGGATTTAATTTCCTACGTTTCCTTCCTGGATCACTTAAGCCAAACTATGGATCTATCCGTTAGTTGTCCAAGGTTTGAAGTTTCGAAACCCTAAACAAGCAGGGGTAGTAAGTTGAGCAAAATGATTATACTTTTCCATCTTGTTCAATGTTACAAACCTGGAACAAATGATTTTAATAAAAACCATGTTCGTGGTTTGGAACCACAAACAAGGGAAGTAATTTAGCTTGGGCTACTTAAGTTGGACCTCACAACTAAACATAAACAAGTGGAAGATGGCTCATTTGGTTTAGGCCACTCATGTCAAGCTAGATGACAAAGTCACAAAGTTTCTGCTGCTTATTCATGTTTACAAACTCGAGACACGAGATTTTAGTGAAAAACATTTTCTAGGATTGGAACTTTGAACAAGTGAGTTGTAGTTTCTTCATTTGACAACTTAAGTTGGGCTAAATTACTAAAATTCGCTTGCTTGCCCAGGTTTGAAACCCAGGACAGAGCTTCTCAAAATAGTTGCAAAGGTATCTAAGTTAAAGGCTTTTTACAAAGTAACCACTTTATAGGTAAATTGTTTGATTTAACCATATTGATTATTTTTTGAGGTAGTTCGACCATATTATTTGTATTTTTCCTTAAGAAAATATTTCGAGGTTTATTTTTAGGACAATTTTATATTATTCTTTCAGAACCTAAATTACTGTTTACCATGGCCATGAATGTTTTTCTCCATATTTGCATACTATCATATAAGAGCAACACTTTTAAAGAATGTCACCACTGTCACCACCCTATGGAAATGAATTCAGTCTATAAGTACACTAAAGCCGATCACATATTGAGTAGAACTTAGAAGACCCAAAAGAGGTAAAAAAAGTCCCATATGCCTCTAGCAACATGTGTGGAGGTGCTCCAACATTTCTGGCCTTAACCAGCACATCAGATAACTCTTTTTATTATGTATCATATAGACGTTTGCACCTTTTAAGTTAACATAAAAGTGTGGCCCTTCTTTCTGAGATTGTCGATGCTTGTGTTCATAGATCATTTAGTTATGTTCATAGATCATTTATTTATGGGGTGGCATATAGACTAAGGTTTTAAGGTAACTTTTGTAGTACACCTTCCTCATAACACCTTCACATCTTGGAGTGCCTCTTTCTCAACATTATTTGTCACCCTGCTTTCTTCTGCCATTGGGATCCTTTCCACTGTTTACCTTATAAGTTATTTTTGAGATAGGAAGGAATCTATTTGCTCCGTTGTTGGAAGAAACTCATTTTTAACTATTAAAAAGAGAACCTTGCTTCGGTAGTATTCAATGCTCCAAAACAAATTTTCCATTGGTGAGCCTAAATGATTCTTAGTAGAAAATCATTGCTCCACATCCCACAAACTTTCACTCAGCCAGTGACTAAAACTCGCTTCGTATTTCAAATAGTTTCAGATTAACTTCTCTCTAGCTTGATATTCATCAAATCAGATAGTTATAACTGGAAACTTTCCCCTATTATATAGTCATTTTCTTTAATGTAGTAGTTGTTTATGGTACCTAAAAGCCTATTTCTGATTGTGTCTCCTGTTTACACTCTATTCACATTGTAATTTAACTTGCCTCATGTTTTCTGAGTCTCCTTTTAGGGAAAGTAGTGTGTATTTTTCTGACATGTTTCTGGATAGACCTAGAATGACCCTGATTATTCTTTCATCCTTCTGCCATTGGGATCCTTTCCACTGTTTACCTTTTAAGTTATTTTTGAGAATGGAAGGAATCTATTTGCTCCTTTGTTGGAAGAAACTCATTTTTAACTATTAAAAAGAGAACCTCATACTTCGGTAATATTCACTTCTCCAAAACAAATTCTCCATTGGTGAGCCTAAATGATTCTTAGTAGAAAATCATTGCTCTGAAACCCACAAACATTCATTCAGCTAGTAACTAAACTAGCTTTGTATTTACACCTAGTTTCAGATGAACTCCTTTCTAGCTTGATATTCATAGAATCAGATATTTCTAACTGAAAACTTTCCACTATTATATAGTCATTTCGTTAATGTAGTAGTTGTTTATGGTACCTAGAAGCCTATTTCTGATTGTTTCTGCTGTTTACACTCTATTCACATTGTAATTTAACTTGCCTCATGTTTTCCCTGTCTCCTTTTTAGGGAAAGTAGTGTGCATGTTTCTGACATGTTTCTGGATAGACCTAGAATGACCCTGATTACCCTTAAATCGTTCCAGCTATTTCAGCTTTTGCAAAAAGATTGAAATGGTATAGTATAGATTGAAATGGTATAGTATTTGTAGAAATCATATAACAGAATGGTAGTTATCATACATGGAAGAAGTTCCTTCCCTATTCCTCCTAGTCATGACTTTGTCAACATATTAACTACAGAAAAGAAAAAAGAAAAAGAAAAAAAAGACTTTGTTGAGATACTTTTAATGTTCTTCTCATATCCACTTAATGCACATGAATTTCGCTAGCTATTATGAATTTGGGTAATATGTAATAAAGAACTCAGTTTTTTCTATGTCAAAGACTCACCACAATATTCCTCTAATCATTCCTTGGGCTCTTATATACTTCATTTAATGGTGTGAATGCTGAGTTTCATTGGTGAAGGACAGGAAATACAAAACAAAAGGGAGGCAACTCTTATACAAATCTTGAAAGATCGCCTTCAGCCTTATGTTGATGGTCGGAAGAATGAGTTTGTGAAATTGGCAAACTCAGAAGCTCGTCGTCTTTCACAAGCTTGTGAGCTTACTATTGTTTATATTATTTCCACTTTTATTGAAACATATATTCTTTGTTATTTTATTAAACCAAATAAAAAATTATTTTGCATTGCGATCATTATTGTTTCTTTAGTTATCCTTCATTAAAAGCTAGGATGTATTGTATCATCATACTTGGGTTAATTCAGTATGGAATCCATGCTTAATCTTATATTGTATTGTAAGTCGTGGTGAATATGTTTTCATGGGACAGAGCACTTTAAATGTTGACACATGGGCAGAGAAAATTTGAAATTGTAAGAGAAGGGGTGGAGTGAGTAGATTTTGAGATGATTTTGTGTGGTGAAATTTTATAATTTATATAAAATTGAGAGGACTTCAAAAAATATTTCTTTTCCTACCTACCTCCAAGATCCATTTAATCCTCACTTCTCTTTCTTGCCTAGGTTTCCATATTCATTGGCTCTCTAGATGTTTTCGTCTCTCTCTCTCTATGGTATATATAGAAAAGAGCCACAACTATCTATTTTAACTACACAGCTTCACTCTAAATAAAAGGGAATGGTTGCCTAACATGAATCTCTCTCTCTCTCTCTCTCTTCCCGCTCTCACTCTTTTCTTAATGTTTCTTTAAAAGAAAAGAGGCACCCAACATGATGCATATTCATATACATAAAGTGTCTGCATACAACTTCCGTGGCAGGTGTGAATGTTCGCTTTTAGAACTTTGGAGATGGAACCCTTGTGGAGTTAAATATTAATAGCATAACTAATTTCAAGTTTTAAAGTCACGATTAAGTATTTACTAGCTTTTTCATAGTTACCTAGGTACCATTTATTTGAAAAAAGTACTGAAATAAATTACACACTTTACTCATCTATTGTTTGTAATACAAACAACTTAGAACACCATAGCAGTTATTCATTTTGTTACCGTTCCCCTCTCACAAAATTGGAATTTATATTCATCATTCCAAAACGTCTTCAAGCATCTCTCGCTCAGTTCCTTTTATGAAGAAGTTACTTGGAAGATTGGACCGATGATGTTTCCATCTTCTACTTTCTCTACATGGTAACAATGGGCTTTCAATGTGCTGGTCTTCCATGAAAATTTACCTTTCCAGTGTTATGAATGGTAACACTTCTTAAGTGGTTATGTTTTACAAATTCAGTGGTACATGTGACTGGGTTGCATCTAGTAGACATGCAAACTCATGTAGTTAGTCCTTTATTAAGGTACATTCCACATGATCCTGATCTAAAGAAGTGTTGGCTTGAAATGAGAAAAAACGTTGTTGCAAGAACCCTTTCTATTGGATTTATAGTTTGTAAAAAGAGGAAGCAATGCCAAACACTTGGGCCTAGGCAAAAAAGAATAGCTTTCTTTAGATCAAGTGTCACCCCACCAGATTCTTGGATACAATTAGGCTTCCAACAACTTTTCATCATATAACAAGCCTGAACAACCCCTTACTGATTTGCACATTCACAGATGCTTACATATTAAAAATTCCTTTCAAATATGCTTACTCAGAAAACTCAAATATTAGAATTTGACGAACTTTATAAGGCTATTATAAAGTAAAAAACTCTCAAAATTTGCAGAGAGGTAAATGTTAGGATATGGAATAATTATGTGAAATTGGGTGCAATCAGATCTATACATAGAAAGTTTCAGCTTTTTGAAATGTGGAAAATGTCTTGACTTTTGGCAATAGTTATGTTTTAATAGAATTTGACGAACTTTATAAGGCTATTATAAAGTAAAAAACTCTCAAAATTTGCAGAGAGGTAAATGTTAGGACATGGAATAATTGTGTGAAATTGGGTGCAATCAGATCTATACTTTGAAAGTTTTAGCTTTTTGAAATATGAAAAATGTCTTGACTTTTGGCAATAGTTATGTTTTAATAGAAGGCTCGTGCCATGTAGGAAGGGTTGCTATGGGAGTTGTGCCTTGGTGATCTTATCCATGGAAGGAGTGCAAGGGGAGGTTCTTTTTGGGCATAGACCATGTTATTCACCTTGAAAAGATCAGGGATGAGATTATCTCATGGGCCTTGACATTGATTGGCTTTTATGGTGTACAAGTAGAGGATTGTATCAATGATTGGACGGCGATCATCTTCAGGGCGGTACCTTAGAATAAACCACAAGAAAGGTGGTTTCCTTTCCCAAGTGGGTCCAGCAAACTTTATCTTGATGGAAGCTCTCATGGTAATTCAGGTCCTACATGGGTGGGAGGGGTTGAGAGATTGCACAAGGCGCACCATAAAGTCTTTCTCAAGTCCTATTGTGATTAATTCATCATTTGTCCTCAAGGCCATACCAGGATTCCTTCTCCATATCATTTATGGTTGATGTGGTTCTTTTAGTGTTATTTGTTCGGCAACTGTGGAATCTATTTTCCCTTGGCGGATTGCAGGCATAATGGAGGAGGTCCTTGTATTGGGCGAATCCATTGTTTGCATCTCTAATCGCAATATATCTAGAGAAGTCAATGTGGCAGAGTAGAGGATAGCTAAGGAGAGAGTGGTCTCAGTTCTACCAGTTTAGGATCATTAGTACCCCAGTGATATTCCGCCTCTCCCTTACACCTCTCATGTTCTTTAATCTCTTATGCCATTCCTACACCTTTCTCATGTTCTCTCTTTGGTTGTAGATGTCTCTATATGTATGCTCTTAGGAGTGTGACTAAATGTATACCTTCTGATCCCAGTAAAACATTCATCTATTTCAAGTATATAGAATTTCCTTGTCTTTTTTTCTTTGTCTTTTTTTCTTTTCTTTTTTCATAATCCACCTACACGGACCTCTAATATAATCCAATGCTAAACCACCACTTTTTGCGGCCAACAACTGCCTGAATTCACTTCCACTTTGGATTACACATGCTTTTCATAACTCGCTCCAATGAGCCTCTAATCTATTCCGACACTACAACCAGCATTTCTTGGGGCTAAACAACTACCTGAATTTACTTCATTTTGGATTAGCACGCTTACCAATTCCAGACACACATGAACATGCACAACAGACAATGTTCTATGTGTTTTTAGAGGCCATAGTTCTCTACATTTGAGATAATACCATTTTCTCTTGTGTGTCTATATGCATTGTCCAAAAAAACGGCCTGCCTGGTGGTGCCTAGGAGGCTGCCCTGCCCTGCCTATGCCTAGGTGGACATCCGTGGATGGCACCCAGGCAGCCCAAGCAGTGCCCCTTTGTCCTAGGGTGGAAATTACCCTAGGGAAACGGGGTATCCTATCTTTTTCCTTCCTTCTTGAGTGGGAGAAAAAGAGTTTCGTTTGTTTTTTGGGTGGGAGGTGGCCTGGGGAAGTTGGGGGGAATGGGTTATGAAACCAAAATCAAGATCAAAATCCTCAGATTTCTCAAAAAAATTTGAGATAAAAAACAATTAAGTAGTTTGAGAAATCATCCCAAACTTAACATTTTTTGTAGCAAATTGGATTCATTTTGAACTATCACTGAGGAACAGAGCACAGGTTTTCAATCTCTCTTTTCATTTTCAGCTGTAAGAACATCAAACTATTGTGCTCTGTGATGTTTACTTATTTCTAATCTATAATTTCAGCTTTTGGAGAGGCTATGCTTCACACAGTTGGCTATATTTATACTAGACAAGCTGCAAAACAGATCGGGAAGAATATCCTGTTTATGGGGGTGCCCTTTATAGCAGAGTGGGTGCGGGACAAAGGTCATCACATAAAATCACAAGTGACTGCAGCTTCAGGTGATTGACTATTTTTTATTTTCTCCATTTAGTAGCTTATTATCTTTTTCAGTGAGGAATAGCTGATGGCTTTTTAAGTACTCTCATTTTGGTCAATTATTTTTCACCCAGCACCTACTTGGTAGGTAAAGAAAAAAAATCCATTCTACTGTTTTTTTCTAAATTACTTTGATTACTGTAGCGCTATATTCTTCCTTGGGATCCTCCAAAGTGAAAATAACCTGCACATTCTTCTGAAAATTCAGGTGCCGTGGCCTTAATTCAAATACAGGAAGGACTTAAGAAATTGGAGCAAGGTGAAAATAATCAGGAGAACTTGTTAAAGCACATTGAAGAGAAGAAAGATGCAATGGTGAACTCCCTTTGGAAAATCAATGTGGTAGACATTGAGTCTACTCTCTCACATGTATGCCAGGCGGTGAGTGATTAGGAGTGATAAGGAGTTGCTTGTTCGCTTCTGACTATGACAGGTCTTTTTTCTTTTCCTCTTCCTATAGCACACTGAAATCCAGTTCTCATCTTTTAGAAGGAAAAAAAGTGTTGCTTTCTCTTGGAATTCCTTTTGTAGTTTTTTAGATTCATTATAGACTTTTGGAAGGTCAGTCGTCAAATAAGAGTGCAATAAGTGAGTCTCTAAACCAGTGTTTTAAAATGCGGCCGCATCATGCGGGATACACTCGCATCCGCATCCCGTTCAGGCGCATATGCGCTTTTGACAGATGCGGTCGCATATGCGTCGCATCAGGACGCATCAGACCGCATCTGTTTCCACTAAATTTCTTTTCAATTTTGCCCCTCGGGGGGGGCAAAATGGTATTTTTTTTGTTCCAATGTTTAGGGAAACTGTTTGGGGGGTTACTGGACCCTCTAATCGAAGATTTCCAGTTACTTTTGTGGCTTTTTTTGCATCAAATCGAAGGAAAAAAAAATTTGGCGAAAATTTGTTTTTCATCCAAATCTTTGATTTGACGGTTGTTTAATATTTGGATGTTCGTTTGATGGCTTTTATTGTTGATTTGGGGATGTTAAGGTGTATTTGTGATAAGAAATTGGGGATTTCAGAGGCCGTGAAGAAATCGAGCACGACTTCGCAAAGTCGGTAACTTTTTATTCCTTCTTGTACGGTAATACTGTTATACTTATTTTTGGAGCAATGTCTTCTTCCCAATATTCTAGTATCAAGGATCCGGCTTGGAAATATGCTAAACTAAAAAATTCGAAAGATAGAAATTGTGTGATATGCTTGCTCTATGGAAATACTTATATGAGTGGTATTTTTCGACAAAAAGAGCATTTAGCCGGAATTTCTGGGAATGTAAGAGCATGCCCACAAGCTACAGATGATATAAAAAAGGAGATTAGAGAATATTTGGATAGATTGAAAAAAGATAAAGAGAAAAAAGAAAAGAAAAGAAAGGAATTACTTGATGATATGCAATTATTTGATGATGTTGATGATGATGATGATGATGATGATGATGATATGTCTGAAGTTGCTATGAGGCAAAGGGGTACTCATACTCTAACCTCAAGAGAGAGGGTTATAAATATTGGTGGTAGTGCTGAGAGAAGAACACCTCTCTCTAAAGGGCCAATGGATTCTTTTTTCGCCCCTAGTCTCGAAATTGTGGTTCAGGAGAGAAAGAAAAAAACAAACAAACCACAATTGACAATAAATATAAGAAAGAACAAAAGAAGTCGGCATGTAAGTCGGTTGCAAAGTGGATTTACATGGCCGACATTCTTTTTAATACTATAACTCTGAATAGTTTTGCATGTATGGTCCAGGCAATTGGGCAATATGGCTCAGGACTAATTCCACCTTCACTACATGAGGTTAGGGCACCCTTGTTGAAGGATGCTGTATTTGATGTGAATAAAATTTTGATTTCTCAGAGAGTAGGGTGGGATGGGGCCATTATTATGTGTGATGGTTGGTCCGATGGGAAATCAAGGGCATTCATTAATTTTTTGGTTAGCTGCCCAACAGGTACTTTTTTTGTTAAGTCTATTGATGCTTCTGACAAGTTACATGATGGTATATACTTATCTGGCTTAATGGATGAGATTGTCGATTTTGTTGGGGAGCAAAATGTGGTGCAAATTATCACTGACAATGGTGCCAACTATGCTGCAGCTGGGCATTTCTTGACTTTGAAAAGGAAGCATATGTTTTGGACACCTTGTGCAGCTCACTGTTTTAATCTTATGCTTAAGGAAATGGGTACAACATCTTTCTTTAGTGGGGTGATTTCAAGAGCTATGTTTGTTGTTGGATTTATTTACAATTACACCATAGTCCTAAGCATGATGACGTCTTTTACAAAGAAGAGAGAATTAGTGAGACCGGGTATCACTAGATTTGCCACGTCATTTCTCACTCTTCGAAGCCTGGCCAAGCAAAAAAGTGCCTTAAGGACCATATTTGCTTCAGAGCTATGGAGTCAAAGCAAATGGTCAATGCATAAGGATGGGAGAAAGGCCGAAAAAATTATTTTGAATACATCTTTTTGGAGTCAAATAATTATTGCATTGGAGTTAGCTCGCCCTTTAGTGAGGGTGCTTCGATTGGTTGATGGTGATGCGAAGCCTGTCATGGGCTACATACATGAGGCAATGACTAGGGCAAGAACTGAAATAAAAGATGTTTTAAAGGATGATGAAAGTATGCGTAAGGCTATGCTTGAAATTATTGATAGGAGATGGGATACCCAGCTTCACAAGCACCTCCATTCAGCTGGTTATTTTCTAAACTCATCTCTTCACTACAAGCACCCATCCATTGAGTCAGATCGTGTTCTTAGACGTGGGTTGTTAGATGTTCTAGAGAGGTTGGTACCAGACAAAGATATCCAGGATGAGATCCAGAGCCATGAATTGATTAAGTTCAAGTTAGCTTTGGGAAACTTTGAGAGAGATATTGCCACTCGAAATAGGGACACTACAGATTCAGGTAAAGGCCAAAAGCCCAACAATAATCTTACTTGTCTCTTACTTTATGTATAGTTCCATGGTTTATTTTATACCCTTAATTTTTAACTATATTCTAAATTATAAAATATTATACAGCTACATGGTGAGCATTATATGGAAGCAAGACACCAAATCTACAACGTCTCGCTATTCGAGTGTTGAATCTCACATGTAGCTCATTTGGTTGTGAGAGCAATTGGAGTGCATTTGAGCATGTAAGTCCTTTACTCCTTATTCCTTAATCCTTATTTCTTGAATTTCAATTTTCTAATCTAAAATCTAATTTATTTGATTTCAAATTTCTACCACAGTTCCATACAAAAAAAAGAAATAGGTTGGAGCCGAAAAAGTGGAATAATTTGGTTTATGTGCGGTATAACGAGCAGCTTTGGGAGAGGTATGAAAATCGCACGAAGCTCAACCCTATTCATTTATATGAAGCTGATGGTGATTCCATAAGTGAGTGGACCGTGGATCCAAGACAAGACTGTGTGTTTGAGGGTGAGGAACTTACATGGTTTGATGTCGAGCTAGCAATAGGGGTTAATGAAGAAGATCGACCTAACACTAGAGCACAAAAGAGTAGAGGAGCTGCTGGGTCTAGTCGCACTCGCATATTAGCTTCAGAGGTTGAGGAGGAAGCTGACTCAGAGGAGACCGATGAAGAAGAATACATGGAGGCCGTCGAGGATGATATTGATAATGGGCATGACGACTCTCAAGATGACTTGTCTGATTGATATTTGAAAAAATGAAGTTCAAATTTCAAAATTGACTATCAAAATGGATGATTGTATTAAGTTATTAACTATTAACTCTACTTGAGCTTGACTTTTGGTTTGTATTTTGTAATATCACTATTTTGAGGTTATGGTTGTAGTTATGATTGTTGATGGTTGTGCTTGTGGTTGTGCTTATGGTGCAAATTTGTGCTTATGGTTGTTGATTGTTGAATGCTTTATGAAGTTGGTTTCAAGTTTCTAGTTTCTATCAGGGGATAGTGGATAACTGGATACAGAATCTCCGATAGTTAATAGTTTTGAAGTTAATCATTAAACTAAAATACCTACTATCACATATATCACCTTCATATTTTTTTTTATGCATTAACTTATTTTTTTAGATTTTTTAGAATTTTTTTACATTTATTGACCGCATCATCGCGATGCACTCGCATTCGGGCCGCATCGCCGCATCGGCCCCCCACCACATCAGGGCCGCATCCCGCTATTTAAAACACTGCTCTAAATTGCTATAGTTATTCTTTTGGAGTATTTCATTTGATACTTCTCTGATAGATGTTGAAGAGGAAAAATACTCTTTTCATGAATTCTGAACCTATGATGATGAATTTTGAACCTATGATGATGACTCTAGTTCTCTTGATCATTAAATTTTCACGTTCTCTAACGGCTATATATATGTGATAATGACGGTGGTCTGATTTAAGTATCTGCTGACTCCTGCCTTTGTTCTTTATGCATCTTTATGCTGTAGACTGTTGATACTATTTTTAAGCTATAGAAACCACCAATTTGCAGATTGGCTGTCCACAAGGGACCGGAATAACACTTGAACAAATATTATGACATAGAGGAGTAACACACTGAGATCTGAAGAACGCTTCGGAGTGGTAGTTGCCATACAGTTTACAGCACATGTGGCTGTTACTGCTGCCAGCCTTCTTATTCTTATGCTTTCTCGAGATTTTAGTATGATTACAAAGTGGATAAGATTGCAACTTGAAAACCCAACTCTTGTAATCGTAAAAAAGTCCAGTCATTTGTGCACTAAAAGTAGATCTGCAACATATGCATGATATAATTCCTCTGTGCATGTTGTTCTCAAGATGTCCCCTTTTCATCTTGCTGACTGACCTTTCCTGTACGTTACCTTTTTGTATAATGGATAAAACAACCTTTCTAGATGTTTTCGAAACACGCTTGCTTCCTTTCAGGTACTCCAAGATAACACAGCCCCAAAGGACATTCTGAAGCTACGGGCCAAAGCACTGAAAAAGCTTGGAACCATTTTTCAGGTGTGTAACTTTTCATACCCATTGTAAAATCCCCTTTGCATTTCCGGTTACAATTTAATAGGTTGATTAAATCATTTCTCTTAAAACACGGAAATGGATGAACCTTAGTTTTACGGAAGGTATGAACCAATAGTAAGAAAAAGTTACATGGAAGCAAAGAATCTCAAGGCTTGTAATTAGACATAAGTACTTGTTGGGCTTCTTTTTTCATGAAATCATTGATTACCTTATGTGTATATTGCACCATTTGAAAGGGTATCTAGAGTCTCTCTATATAAATTATAAAAGGAATCATTTCCTCAGTGATGGCTTTGAGTGCATGGTGAGATGATGTCGTATTGCTTGGTTAATCCCATTGATCCTATCCATTATATTCAGCAACTTAGCTTGGATATGTTTGTGGCCTTAAATTTTGTACATCTTTGATTTCAAAAATAAAAAATTTCGAGCAAAAACTAAGTTCTTGAAAGCCTAGACAAACTGCCCATCAAATGAATTGTTTGCGTTCATTAAAAATGACAGGCCCATTTTCTCTCAATTTAAAAATGAATTTTGAAGAAGATTGCACTCATAGAAATAGAGCTGAGTGGGCGAAAGGAAGATGTGCATCCAGAGTTTTATGTGATCACTTAATACCAATGAAAATAACGGGGAAGTTTATAGGATGGCTGTAGGACCAACTATGCTTTATGAGATGGAATGTTAGGTTGTCAAGAAATAACATATTTATAAGATGAATGTAGCTGATGAGGATGCTGAAATGGATAAGTGGCAAGACAAGAAAGGATATAATTCATAATAAATATATACAAGGGAACTTAGGAGTGGTTCTAATAGGCGATAAGATAAGGGAAAATAGACTTAGGTGGGCTGACCATGTGCAACATAGACAATACGTCACTGTTTAGGAAGGGCGATTTGGTGCAAGTGGAAGGCTCTAAAAGGGTAAGGGGAATACCCAAAAGGATATGGATGGAAGAAGTGAGAAGAGATGTAGTGATTTATAGTTTGATTCAGGGTTACAGGGAAGGGATTTGGGCTTCAATCCTGCTGTTCAGGTCTGGGTTACGGGGAAGGGATTTGAGTTTCAATCTTGCAGGTCTTTGTATGTCCATAGTGTTGGACTTATGGCCTTTCAAGGCCTTGACTCCAGTATTCTCTAGCTCGCTATAGCGGGAGTGAGCGAGAGAGATGACTTTGGGATCTTTGCGACCTTGGACCAAATCACAAACCTTGTGTCATGAGGATTGAGTGTGAAAGACACCTTATCGAGAGGGTTGAGGGTTACCTCTATTCAGGGTCGGCTTGTTTTATACCTCATGTCAGTTTAAATGGATCCTTGCTATTCGATCTCTAAAGTTCACATGAGTACAAATAATTATGGCTGCAATCGTTTCCCTTATGAAATGACAATATACCTTAATTTACTTCGTTCTCTCATGAAATATGGGATTCTTAGCAATGTGAATGGTTGTTTCATTATTGCAATAAAGGGTCATAGGTAATTGAACTTCAACTCTTAGATCAGCTAATATAGTTTTCGCCCATATAACTTCACATGCCCTATTTTCCATGGCCCTGTATTTTGCTTCAGCTAGGGGTGGCAATTGGTCGGATCGGGTTCCGGTTGACCAGGACCTAGACCCGGACCCGGTCAGGTCCAAGTCATTTGGACCCTGTCTAGATATTAAAAAAATAATAAAAATTATAATTATATGTATAATACAAACATTTTATATACTTTATACTAGGTTGGGTTCGGTCTGGTTGACCCCAACCTGGACCCGACCTAGGTTGGGTCCAAGTTATTTGGATCTGGATCCAGACCTAGTTCGGGTTGACCTGCTGGGTCTGCGCGTCGACCCCACCTGATTGCCACCCTTTGGCACTTGATCTATTTACTTCATTTTGTTTTTGTCTCTTCCATGAAACCAAATTCCCACCAACAAAGTTACAATAACCTATAGTTGACCTTCTATTGGTTTGTGAACTAGCCTAATCTGCATTAGTGTGAATTGCAACACCCACGGGACCATGATTAGTCAACAACAATCCTCTATCAGGAAATGACTTGAGATAGGATATACTAGACATCTAAATGAGGTTTCCGAGGGCATGCATGAACTGACTGATTACACTTGTAGCATAAGAAATATCTTGTCGTGCAATTGTGAGACATATAAGCTTGCCCATAAGCCTATGATATTGATTAGAATTCTTAAGTAAATTGTCCATCTATTCAAGAAGTCTATGATTGGTTTCCATAGGTGTATCCATTAGTTTGGCCCTCAACAGTCCAGTTTGTTTTTTTAACAAATCCAGCACATGCTTCCTTTGAGAGAGACCAATTCCCTCCTTTGATCTTTCCACTTCAATACCCAGAAAATATTTTAATGGACTTAAATCTTTTCTGTCAAACACTTTTCTGAGATTAACATTTAAGATTTTCAGTATTTGCTACGCGATCCCTTTGATACTACAATATTATGAGCATACACTATGAGCGTTGTAATCCCAACACCATTTTTCCTCAGAATTAGCGTATGATCAGCTTGACTCCCTTTAGACCGAATTCTTTTTTCTAGGAAGGCTACATTGAATTTCTCAAACTAGGCTCTTGGCAGTTTAAGTCCAGATATTGCCTTTTTCAATTGACACACCGTTCGTGTCTCCCCTTGAAGGTAAAAGCCCGGGGGCATAGCCATATACACTTCCTCATGGAAATCTCCATGCGAAAATGTATTTTCACATCCACTTGATGCAAGAACCAAGATTTATTTGCAACCAAAGGGAATGATTTTAACAGTACTCAAATTCGTTATGAGGGTAGAAGTCTCTTTGTAATCTATACCCTGAGTTTGAACAAAACCTTTTGCAACCAACCTCGCCTTGTATCTTTCAATTGTGCCATTTGTCTTGTGTTTCACTGTAAATGGCCATTTACATCCTACCGCTTTCTTTACTTTAGGAAGTTCAGTGCGTTCCCAAGTGTTATTCCTTTTGAGAGCTTGCATTGCCTCCCACATCTCAAGCTTCCACTGAGGTTGTAGTTAGAGCCTCTATTACGCTGGATGCAATGCTAACAGTAGACACAGATGATTGGAAAGCACAATAGGAAAGTGACATAGCATTACAAGAAACAAAGTCACTTACAGGATATTATATACATGACCACTTGCCCTTGCGTAATGCAATTGGTAAGTCAATATCTGACACCAGGCTTGGATTAGAAGGTGAAATATTAGGATGAGAAGGATCGATATTTGATTCGAGGTTGACACTTGAGTCATGATCGTTCTAAACTTTGGGTTGTACGAACTTCTTCCTTCTAACATGTCTTCAACTCCCTTTCCTTGGCTGCAATTTGAATGTTCCCATCTTCAGTTTGAGACAACTTAGAAACTTCAGAAATGAAGGGAGTAGGAGTTGGAGTAGATAAAGGTAATATCACAAGATTGCTTTCTTCATATCTATTGTACTCCACTTGAACAGAGAATTGTTGTTCAACAGGAGAGAAATATGGCATAGATTCAAAGAAGGTGACATCCATAGAGACATTGTGAACTTTATTAACAAAATCGTAATATTTTAACACTTTTTGAGTTTTTGGATAACCTAAGAAGACATATTTAATGGATTTCAGGTCCAGATCGTCTTTTCTACTGCCCTGAACCTGGACAAAACACACACTCCCAAAGACTTTGGGAGGTACGGAAAACAAAGGAGTATCACGAAGAAGTATTTGGATTAGAGGACTTGCCTTGAAAAACTCTTGATGACATACGATTTATGAAGAAGGCTGCAGTATGAACAGCCTCAGATCACAAGGGTTTTAGAATATTTATTCCAAACAAAAGAGTTCTTGAAGGGCTAGATCCACCGGCATCAAATGGACAATTTTTGTTCACTAAAAACAGAATACTTCCTTTACCAATCTTTTAAGTCATTTCTTTGATCACTAGAGTGAGATGAGCCTATGTGCAAATTTTGTGTCCAACAAACTCCTCTAGCTCAACAGGCTTGTGCTACAGTATAAGCCTGCTGGCTTATAGGATATTTTTCCTATGTAAGTAGAAAAAAAAAATTTAATGACTTGTACTTATTGGGAAATGAAAAGATGGCTTAACTGGCCCCTGGCCTTTCAGGACTGGTTCTTGTGGTCATTTTCTTCTTTTTTAAGTTTTTGACTATTTTGTTGTTTGTCATTCACTGCTACAATATCATCTTTGGACTATATAAAGGCGTTCTTACTTTTTTGGATTGTACTTTCAGGGTGCAAAGGATCTCTATAGGCGGGAGAATAGTCTGCGCCATGAGAGTAGTGAAAAGGGAAGTACTGCCTCACCATCATCCACTTAGTCATGAATTGTGGTTATCAGTGTTCTACTACAGGTCATGTAAGTGTATGATTGTGGCAACTTCATTACATCAGCCATGCATATTGGGATTCAATGTATTGAGCTGTGTATAATTATTAGTGGATTTATAGCAATGGATTGAACTTCGGTCCCTACGCATGGCTTCTCATTAAGGATGACTTGTACTTGGTGATGATGCTGCAGAAATATGCACGAAGGAATTGCTAATATGCATATATTGTTGTCTGGATGGCTGTTAATTTTATCAGGAGCAGACAATCTTATAAAAAATAATATATTTTATATAACATTATTTTGTTAATTGTTTGGTATGTACCTTGTATTATGTACAATAATATAATTCAATAGTTTATTTTATCAGGAGTAAACTATCTTATCAAAATTAATATATTTTGCATAACATTATTTTATTAACTGTTTGGTACGTACCTTGTATTATGTACAATAATATTTTATAATTCAACTATTTCAGCTATTTTTTGCTGTTTTTGGCATATGATTTTCAGCAATGTAATTTGAATAAAGTAAAAAACAGCTTTTCAAAAAATAAATCTGTATGTATAATTAGCTATAAGTTTATCTTAGATAATTTTATGTTGGACACTGCTAAACAATAAATATTTCATAATCAAGATCAATTTTATTAGAATAGTGAATTATCAGCGATAATGAGTACATCGAAACAAGGCCACAGTACAGTTGGCACTCTGTTTGGAACTTGTTTTTTAATTTTTGAACAAGGGTTACTGATGGTTATTTGAGGTGTGGTGACAGTTTTCAGAAAGCAAGGACTGGTATTCTAGAAACATTAGTATATGGAATCTCAAAATGGTGTGATTACATATGGACTCAAGAAAAGCTCGAATGTGTGTTATCACAAGCCTTGCTAGGGGTGTGCCATTGATGGGGCTCATGATCCTAGAGAAGTTTTCTACACCCCTAGCTATCAGATCTCGTATAGCAATTGTGATATTGTATAAAATGTTCAAGTCTTACAATGTGTATGCCTTCATGTTTAGCCTTTGAGACGGAGATCGTTGTTGACGGTTAAGAACAATTGTGACCTTGTACCAAATGTTGACATTGTTATAGGATACATTCCCTTTATGAACATACTTTACAATAGTGACCTATGAAAGTCCATAATTTTATATGAATGTAGGTAGGCGCACATTTATTTTTAGAAATTGTGTAGAAAACATTCAAAAAATATTTGGGTCCCTCACTTTGGTCTCTTCCTTTGAAACTTAAATGGAATGAGTAAAATCGAAACTCCTAAGCATGATCTCAGATGGAATAACAAAACGGAAAATTATCAAAATATCCCTGAGAGATGCATTATTTAACATTTAGCTTTTTAGCTAAACAATATCGACAAATTGTTAAATAGTTCATGATAATATATCATGGGTATTTTGATAATTTTTTCATAAGAAATGAGGCAACATCGATTCACAAGTACAGTAAATTATCTTATGCATAGTATAAAAAGTAGTGGGAAGCAATGTAGCCCCATTCCAATATTTTTATAACCTATTATAACAGTCAAAAACTATTTGAAGTATAAATTATTAGAATGCTGTTTTTAAGTTGGGCAATGTAAGGACCTCAAATTTTTCCCGACATGATACGTGCACGGCAATAGAATCAAAAGGAGGAGCAACGCTGTGCGTGAACGGAAGGGAAGTGAACCAAGTGGATTAACGCCACGAGTGAAATGGAGCATCCCTGCACGTGAAGTGGAGCTTCGTCGCACGTGAAGTGGAGCATCGTCACGTGTGAAATGGAGCATCACCGCACGTGAAATGGAGTATCGCCGCCTGTGAAGGCAGAAAAGAGGTACCGCCGTGCATGAAGGGAAGGCAACGCCGTGCATGCGTAGCGCCATGAGTGAAAAGGGTAGATGTGATTGTTGCCGTACATGTCAGCGTCGCACTTGTCAGCGTCGTGCATGTCAGCTATAGTGATCTCCACTTACCCGGTCAGCCACTGTGGGTCATACCCACCTTAAGCACTTAAGCCCTCTCCCCTCCCTTTCCACCGCTGTTTCCCTCACTTGCTCTCGTATTCTCTCTCTCTAGAACCAAAATTAGAACGAATTGCTGCCTTTGGAGAGAGCCTGTGCTAGGAGCCTGAAGTGGCTTGCGAGTGGGAGGTTTGGAGGTACCGTTGTGCATCAGGTAAGTAGGTTTAGTATCTATGCATCACTTAATTGGGTAGTGATCAAATTCGAGTAATAAAAACAAGTAAAATGATAGAATGAAGGACATGGGTGTGGTTGAGTTAAAATGAGTTTGAATGCTTGATTTAGCGTTGTAAATAAACTTTTAGTTTTAGAAATTAGTGGAGGAGCTCACTTGCAAGACTAGTTTAACATGAATACGGTTTTGAAATAAAGATTATCTTGGCTTGTGAGATGTCATGGGTTATTTGAAGCATGCCAAAACTTGTAAAAAAGAATTTTCAGGAACTATGAGTGTTTTCATATTCTGCTTTTCAGTAGCCAAACGGTATCCAAATGGGCTCAAATCGCTATTGAATGAAAGATATATTCGTCTACTACAATATTACTTTTTACATCATGTTAAAAGTTCGTATGAGTTAAGAGATGTGCCTCAAAATGTAAAGGTATGTCACTCTCCACATTCGTTGGGATTTACAGCAACTGTCATCTATTTTGCGTCGAGCTTTTGACCTATTAAACGATGTCCAAACGCCTTCAAGCCACTACCATTTGAAAGATCTATGAATATGCTTAAAGTTGCATGTTGAACTTATTTTAAAATTCCCTGTGGATTGAGAATTATGCTCCGAAATGTGAGGGTATATCACTGTTCACAGTTGTAGGGAATTCCAATAACTGTCACTCACTTTGTGCCGAGCTTTTAACTTATCAAATGTTGCCCAAATACTTTCAAACCACCGCCGTTTTAAAGATCTAGATGTAAACTTAAAGATACATATTTAAATCATTTTGAAATTCTTTCTAGATTGGGAGTTATGCCTCCGAGAAGAGAGGTACGTCACTGTTACTTATCATCAAGAATTTCAGTCCTGTGTTTGTCTTGGAAACATATTGTTTTATGCTCAAACCTTGGCCAAATGTGTTCGAATCACTTTTATATGAACCATAAGTGAGTCTATTTCAAAATTGATTTTGGAACCGTACCAAACCCTCCACGGTTTGAGAACGACTCCCTTTTTCATGAGGATGTCATGGTTATGAATGTAGAGGAATTGCGCACTCTTTTCTGATCCCCACTCAAGTAACAAAGTGTTGTAAGTGGATATTGATAAGCTTAAGTACTATGTGATAGTTTCATGTAATGAATGCTACATGATTAAATGCCATAGTGTTATGTGAACAATGCTATGCGACCATGCTATACGTGATAAGTAACAAGTGCAATCGCCATGTAGAGTTCCTTGATGAATGTTACATGATGAATGTCGTAGTACAAATACGATAAAGTATCATACACGCTCGTTGATAAGTGTTAGTGCCATGTGATAGCTCTCTTATGATGAATGTTTCGCGTTAAGTGGCATAGTGTACATGATAGGTGTATATTTTTGAACAGGACTCAAACTTTACATAATGAGACTGGAAGTTTGAGTGAAACTCATGCTTAAGCATGCTAAGATGCTGTGATGATGACCACTACGCAATGGGATACCCATTGGTAGTGTGTACTGTTATGTTATGAGGTGACACTGCTCGCTACGCGATTGGACACCCATCGGTGGTAGGTATTGTTATGCTGAGAAAAGTTATGCCGGCAATGTTCCCTAACTTGCTAAATGATAGGATGGAGTTAGGGGAAAGTGAAATAGGAGGGTCGCACCCCCCGAAATTCATGAGATAAAACTAGTGAATGATGCCTTGCAAGGTAAGTGCATATCAAAAATCCCAAAGCGCGCTGGAGACCGTGTGTGTGAGTTTGAGGCATTATGAAGTGGATTTCCCCACTTGTCATTGCCCTCCCTCCTAAAGGACGCTAGAGGTCCTAAGCAATAGGATTGGCTTGGCTTGACCTGATGGATATGGCTTCTACTTTGGGAGTAGGTGAACTAAGGAGTGACTGGGTAATGATTGAGTAGTGAATGTGAATGATAATGATTGAATGGTAATTATGACATTTTGATATTATGCTTGTCATATATGCATTAATGAGATTTCTTATTTAGATAACGTTTGCACTGTGATTCCCTATAATTGAAAGAACTGCTCATGACACATGATAGACTCTATAATTATGCATAGCACCTAGATCTACTTACTGGGCTTTACAACTCACCCCACTGTGCCTCCCCTCCTTGTAGATTGACACCGACAGGTCAGAAGGGCATGAAATACGTGATTTGCGGCCAAGAGTTGAAGTCACATTCCTTTAAGAAGAAACCCAGATTTTGTATGTAATTGGGCAGTTTCGCCCTAAATTTTGTTTATTTTGGCAAAATGTAATATTGGGCCCAGATGCACCCCGAACTCAAGGGTAATATTTTGGAAGAAATTTCATGTAGTACATTTTAATGATGTATGGATTCTCCAAATTTTAAATATTCATCTGTACATAGAATTACTGTTTTAGTTTTTTTCATGGTTTGCTTTGCTCACCGATATTAAAGCGTCAAGTCTACTCCGACCTGAGTGCCATACTCTACCTCGGGATCATGAACCTGTACTTGGTCACCCTCTGTCAAGTACAGAATAGAGGTCGTGACAGGCAAGCTTTCTATGCTTCCCCTACGGCATAAAACTTACATACTATCCCTTATCCAACCGTCCATTCTGAATGGAGGGCTAAGATTGCCCCAATCATAATGTCACGTCTCTACACTATTTTTTT